CACAATACTGTCAGTGACGTTACAATAATGAGTCACTGATATCACTACAAAATGTCAACGACGTTATAACAATGTGTCTGTGACATCACAATACTGTCAATGACGTTACAATAATGAGTCACTGATATCACTACAAATTGTCAACAGCGTTATAACAATGTGTCTGTGACATCACAACACTGTCAGTGACATCACAACACACTATCAACGACGTTAAAACAATGTGTCTGTGACATCACAATAATGAGTCATCGACATTAATAAATTGTTAATGACATCACAACAATTTGGCAACGGTATAGTGACATCACCACGATGTGTCAGTGACATCACAACGTGTCGGTGACATCATAACAATGTCGAAGACATCACAAGAACATGTCAGTGACATCACAATATCTCAGTGACATCATAATAATGTTATTGACATCAAAAAGTTTTTTTTGCAGTGTCATTACAAATGGTTGTACAAAAGTTGAACTGTAACTTATTTTGTATTTCTATTCATATATGCTTGATATTACAACGATTGTTTTCATCTTCTATATACAGCATGCCGACATATATAAAACTTAGGATATAATTGTACTGAAAATTATTTCAAATCAGAGATACGTTTAAACTATCTAAAATCGTTACCTGTTCCCATGTATATGTAAAGTGACGAAAAAAAATCGATATCGAACGTCTACCACAGAATCTACTCCTCCTATTTCGCGAACCACTGAGCCGCATTGACCTGCAAAAGATTAATATTCTCTCCTCATCAACGGTATCTATTTACAGGGTTCGCTTTTATCAATTTTCTGTAATTTGAGGCGGCCATCAAGGCTGGTTTATTTATTGACTAGGAAGATTGATAATTCAGTTATACGTAACTGGTGTATGTATTGATGACATCTAGTTCTGACATCGAGACGTTTTACGCTATAGATACCCAGGGAGATAATTATGGGAAAATCAATCGCTACAAAATGGCCTTAATTGCTAAATCTGATTAAGGTAACATTTTACGACAAAAGATGAAAAGGGCTAGTGATTTTCTAAACTGTACTTTATTATGTTGAGAATCGTTCTCGACATCTAGCACTCCCATAGCAATAGAACCAGGCCAGCGAGTAGGACATGTATACTGGCTATTCTCAGATTGCATTTCCAAAGCCTCAATTCTGGAATTCTTTCATGGGCTATTGGTAAGTCTTGCAGATATGTCGTTCCCACTGTGCCTGTCATATCAACTAAATTAATAGTGTTAAGTTCACTCAAAAGATTTACCTCTAGTCTTATTTAAATGGTGTTCAATATTTATAGTATTTGCTCATGGGGTTCTGCAATCACCAATATAATGATTTATTGTAAATATTATTGATGTCGTGTTTATATTTGTTTTCAGAACACTTCTCAATTATCCTATGTCCCTAATACTAAAATTACGTAATAATTTTTGCTTTTTGAGCGAGAGAAGTTTTTTCTTCGTCCCAATGCATGCGTGTTTTTCAATAATATTTCTAAAAGGATTGTGGGTAATTGGTATATGTCTATATATTTTCCTTAAAATACCTGTGTTTTATGTGAAAATTATTGAGAATTATCAATAACGATATGATGTTGTTTCCTCATTCCTACATTCCTTCTTACACACAGGTAAGCGTTTTATCTGTTATGGTATAAAGAAAGATTTATACCTGGTTGTGTGCCCCGTACTTCACAACTGTCATACAATACCGCTATCATTGAGTTGACGAGAGTCGTTTGCAATAAACCTCTCATATGTCGAGAGTCGTGTCATATCTACCCCAAATATCCACTGTCTTCCTAGTGTGGCCGTGTTGGCCAACAATAAACCAGAGATAAATATGAAGTGTGCCACTTAGCAGCACGGAATGGTCGATAGGAGGGAGAAGGAGAGTTCAGTAAGGGGCCTTAACTCATCGATCAGCACCAATAAAAGTAAGACAATAAATTAAGTTGATTACACTTACGATAACGCTGATGACGTCATTCACTATGTGTGATGTGACCGCCGTTTAGTTTGTGTGACGAGAGTTTTTGTTTCTGGTTGCAGGAGTTATTGCCCCTGATTTAGGTTTTCTGGTAATTACTCTGTTCAATGATATATACCTTACACATTTTTTTTCTCTTTATATTTTTACTTGAAGTCAGTTAAATATTCAACAAACTAGGAACTATTCACAAAATCAAACTTGTAATCGATTTTACGTATAATCGATATCACAGATAATCATATATTAATGCTAATATCACAGATATGATTTTTTTCTAGCTTTCATTACATTCTAAATTTAAGTCCATGAATGATTTTCCGATCTATATAAAGTCCACTTCCTGTTTTCATTCACATGAATATCTACATTTTTAAATGTAAAAAAACCTATAATGACATACAAATAATGGGACAAAAATGTGTTTTTTGTTTACATAATTCTAACAATTCCGAAAGGCTTATGCATTGGAGTTAACTAGCTTTACTTGCACGCGTGATCTCATCAGTTTCAGTAGGTGGAGTATGTCAATATCAAATCTCTGTATAAATTTTTGATCAGCTTAATAGTTACGTATGCATGCTTGTCATACCTATTTCTGAATGCCCATAATCCTGAGAAAATGTATTAAATTGAATTTGACATGTATTTTGTAAATCTGCTATAACACGAAAAAAAAAAAAATTCAAAGAGTGTAAATATAATGAAAAAAAAAATCAATTCACAATTTAAAAGTTAACAATACTTTGACCCACCAGGACGAGACAGTACTTACAGTTAGTGATAGATAAACAGAGAACATATATCGACCTCCGTTCGGAAGTCCTCAGTGTGTACATAGCTATGTGGCACGGGTTCACACCACCTCGGTGTCAATAAAGAGGTAACTTTATCCATATTTTGATATAGGATTCAATCCGTGTAATGATTGGAGAGAGCAACGTTAGAGTAAAAACTCAATACATTTAATCTACTCGAGTTTTTATCTGTCTGTGACAATGATCTCTATGTCAACTCGGCGTGTTACCTGTGGTACAAGAATTTTCTGTGACCTTTGAAAAACCGTCCATACCAAAAGGGAATCTAATTGATTCACATAATTATCTACACGAACGTTAATTATTCATGCAACGAGAACATATATGAGAAGTCTCGAGAAAGGACGCTTTTATGAAACCACTGGTGTTCTTTGTTTCGGTAATAACACATTCGTGTGGCATAGAGGTGACAGAGTGTAAAACTATGGTTGAGAAGAAAACGAAATGGACATAATCTGTCAATTGGAGCGAGTAGTTATTGTGTATCCCCAGAACCATTGTGGGAGATAATTAGTTTTTATGAAAATATGCTAGCCTTTGTGAAAACAGCGTATACTCACAACGTGTCAGTTAGTCCGAGACGCGTGGACAGCTATCATTGTCATAGGCACCGCCTGTCAACTAAGACTACTAAATTATGGAGTTGTTCATAGTGATAAATTGATAGAGGCTTAAACTGTTCCATCAGAACTGTCTAAGGGGACTTCCGCTGCAATGCTGCTAGTTTGTTTGTTGGAAACTTAGCCGTCATAACGAACTATACTTATCGAGGACTCGTTGAATCTGAAGTCTAATTGAAAAGTTGTAGTGTTTGGACACAACGACAAATTAACTCGGGAGATTTTATTACATGTATTTTCCACGGATAAAAATTTGAATTTGGATAGCGATGTTTGATTCCATCGATGTAATGACGCCCTCAGTACGGTTTGTTTTTTGTTATTCTGTCTACCTAGTAAGACAATAGATTGATTGTGGAAAGTTACCCCCACAGTAATAGATAAATGTGATATTTCGGCTTAAGATCTTTGATGAAAAAATGAACTCTGGATGTGAAGTTGATATACCCTAAAATGCATAATATTTTGAACGGTTGCCATGGTGATTGATGTGTTCCATTTATTGTCAATCGGGTGAAACACGAAAAAGTTTTGTTGTCAAATTGAATCATGACAAACAAATACACACACTCTTGGGATGTTTCCATATACGGAGATAATACACTTGGAAAACGACCATGTTGTTTTTCTGTTATTGGATGCAATTAATAACTTTCTACTGAATGAAGACGGAGTCTTATAATGAAATCCATTCAACGCAGCTTTTCAGAGATCGACATTGGTGTATTAATGGGAAGACAAAAATCCAATACCGTTTATCACCTGCATTGTGCACGTTTGTATAATCAAGCAAATTATATTGACTTTCACAACATCCTGCAAATTTAGCATTTTGCAGTGCGTGATCGTGTTTGGTGTAAACGGAATACACATATCTTGTTCATAACTATTATATTTTTCGTTTGATATCTAGGCAATTTTAAAGTGTTTGTACCACACACTGGTTTTAAAATATCGATAATTGCACAGATAATTGATTTTCTTAATATTCTCCGGAATTTTAATCCGACAACATGATATACAAAAACACACTACGAAAGCCTATACTTGTGTATTGTCAAATTTCGTGAAGACAGACAGGACCTTGCTCGAGGTGGTCTCTGGACAACTGGTCACAGGTCAATCAGACAAACCGTTATTGTCCGAATATATAATTCCAGGCTTTTCGGAATAGAAAAGACCTTCTAATTTAATGACTAGAGGATAAAGGAAGGGGCCAATGATACCTGTATATACGGTCACGTGATGCTGACATTAGCAAGGTGTATATAACTGTTTGCAGCAGTTGTTGGTGACATCAAAGACTTATTGAACTAATTGTGATGGATATGTGGGAAATGTGTCATTCTTTTCGAGAAACTTACTTATATTTAGCTTGTATACCTATATGAGGAGTTGCACCAGGTATACATGTACACGTGACTTCATTTGTGAAATTTGCATTGTATTAACTTTTGTGAGGATTTGCATTACATTTATCTCGAAGAACAATTAACTTTATTTACAAATTTGTACATCTTATGCGGCATTTGTGAAGTTCGACTTGATAAGATTCAATAATGACTATGGAAGTTAAGAAAAGCCCAGGGTCACCACGAGTGCGTTTTTCAAAAACACATAGTGTCATACAATACGACAGAATGTCTCCACCTAGCGGTCGAATGAAACCAGCGGTGAGTAAAATTTAGAAACCAGAGATATGATTTAGAAACCAATGTTGAGTAAACTTCAGAAACAAGCGGCAAGAAAAAATTAGATACTAGCGGTAAGATTAAGAAACCAGCGACGAGAAAAATTAAGAAACCAGCGATGAATAAAACTTAGAAACTACAGATATGATTTAGAAACCAATGTTGAGTAAAATTTAGAAACCATTGTTGAGACCAGTATTGAGTAAGCTTAAGAAACCAATGTTGAGTAAAATTTCGAAACTAATGTTGAGAAAAATTGAGAAACCATTGTTGAAACCAGTATTGAGTAAACTTAAGATATCAATTTTGAGTAAAATTTCGAAACTAGTGTTGAGTAAAATTTAGAAAATTGTTTTGAGTTAAAAACAGCGTAGATTTCAGAAAACATTAACCGAAGTTTTATATATATAATGTGACGAGTAGTACTCAGAAGATGAGTAATACGTAAATCATTTGTGAGTGAAATATTGAAAGCTGTGGTGAACAAATTATAGAACCAACGGTAACATCGAGAAATCAGCGTTGATGAGTGACATACAGATGTAGGTGTCATGTGCCCACCAGCAGTTGATTGTAGTATGAAACAGCGACAAATTAGTAATAAAGAGTAACTTGTTTATGTATGTAATATTTGAGATCTAGGTGGTCGGTTGGCGCAGTGGTAACGCACTCGCCTATCACCAAGCTGTCCTGGGTTCGATTCCCGGAATGAATGTGAAAATGTATGGGGTCACCTACCCGACCACATGGGCTTTCCCCGGGTACTCCGGTTTCCTTCTACAGTAAGGCCCCTCGCGCGCTTTCATCCGGGCCAAAAAGAGTGATTGATATAAGTTTGGAAAAACTTGTTTCGCAAATTTGGGTGTCAGTAATATAAAGAACCCATGATGAGAACTTCACAGAAACGAAACTCAAGTTTCAAGAAATATATAAACCAACTCTATAATTACATTACAATTCAGACAATCCAGACTGACTAAATAAACATAAACAATAAAGGAAAAGGGTTTTTTTTAAAAGTCGACGGGACTAAAAGTGCCTCTTTTGTTGTAGGATTGAATAACGCTGATTGGTAACAGGCTTGGTCTGTTGGTGATTGCAATTAGGTGTCTCAACCGCAAATGGTGCATACAGTATGCTTCCAATGTACTGTTAAATCGACCAGACACACAATTTTACCCTCTCAGTGAGATGTCCAATATTTATATCATCTGACTTGTGTTGCACACATTTTTATTATGTATACAAGTATTACTATATAGAAATGAGGCTATTGTGATCTGAATGAACGACATTCTTTTATTTGTAAACTTGCTCGAACTACATAGCACTCATAACATGTCTTTTTACCATTTTTCTATGATGAATAGAGTGCTTATATATCAGTGGCTGATCTCACGTTTCCTATTCATCTAACACAATATCGTCATGTTTGAATATCAACGAATAACTGCCTTTCAGACTATAGTGATATCCGCTCTCAATGACAATACTGAAAAAGATTGCCTGACTGTCGATTTTCATTTTTAATATCATATCTCTCTACCGTTCTGCACGGTAACCTTTACCACAGAGCGTGTAATAAACTTGAGTTCCCATGAAAAGGCCTGATTCTGAACTGAGAGTCTAGCTTACCTGTGGCGGCCATTTGTTATAACGATTTGTACTTTTATTCTATTGTGGAAGTAAATGACATATTGATATTTAAATAGGAAGCTGTTATTGTTCGGAGACTATTTTGTATGGTATGTATTAGGAAAAGTGACTTGAATAATCCTATATCTTATCCATGCCAATTATCGCTCTTATATTCATCGCGACCTAGAATTGTACATTGCTTTCCAATCGACAAGGCATATAGATAGATTGAGAGTTATGATACCCACAATGCAATATTTTGTTTTGTCGGGTAAAACAAAATCACGTACAATACCATATTTGGTCCTGTCATCACTCTAACCTATGGAATCCGGATAAATTAATCGGGGTCGCGGTTTAGTATTTTTTTTAACTAGTAAGGACATTTACTGCAGGAGTATAGTGCGTATGAAATAGCATGTCCATGAACCAGCATACCGCTGATATGTTTTGATAGTTTCACAAAAAAACTTCCGACAAAAAACAAATTTGTGAAGATCTCGATCCATAATCTTTTCCTTAGTAATTGAAAACTTCCAAATTTTACTCCTCTGTGTCAGTTCACAGTCTTGCATGTCTCAATGATGTTTTCACGTCCTGCTTTATATTCTGCTCCGTGTCTTCCCTTTTTTCTCTCATGGTGTGAAATGGAAGCGGTATATATATACATATTATGTACATTTATGCTTTATATCTTACTTATTCAAACAATGTGTTTGCCTTTGTGTATCAAAGAAAAGCAGTGTAAATAAAACTGTGATATAAGCGTCCTGTGAGGTGAGACATGAGATTGTTGTATATAAGGCGATCACACGGATACGTGGAAGCTTGTGTATGACAGCACATTGTACCGTGTAGTGATATTTTGTATTGTGACAACCACAGGGACCACTGCTGCGTTGTTTCATGACGGTAAAATCTGAGTTTATGTATACTGAGATCTGTGTAAATCTTCCTTTGGCAAATTAATGTTAAAAACAGATTTACATGTATGTGCATTCATTCTGACGCATAATTGCGCAGAGCTTTTCCAAATATATATGACACTTGCTTTAATAGTTAATTTAGTGATTAATTGGTTGGTTGATTGATTGATTGATTGATTGATTGATTGATTGAAAAAGTTTACTGAGAATTTCCAGACATTCACAATACTTAGGAAATTAATTCTTAGCTAGTGTCGATATTGCATTTAGAAGGTATTTTGATGTTTGGAATATCGATCTTCTACTTTAATCCAGAATACATCTGTTATTATAACGTAAGGTTATATCGTTGCTCATAACTCTATGACTTTGAACATTTTATGTTGTAGATAACCCGATCGGTGACCGCTATGGCGGTCATGCAATCAACGCCCACCCGACCCGCCATGAGACCTATCCAGCCAACGGAGATGACCCTAAGTCTGGACGATATTTACCGAGTAGCCGAGCGCGAGAGACTAACGTATACGGCAAAAAGTCGACACCAGAGCGTGGTTGCCGCACACCAAAGTGTCCGCACCAAACTGGAAGGACTAAATCGAAGTCGCCCAAACACCAGTGCCAGTCGGTATATACACGCTGTCCGCCGGGAAACAATGACTCCAAAGAGTATCCGAAGTGAACCGGCGCCTTCTCGAGTATCCTCTCGACAGGAGGGAGATTATCATATTGAAGAACTAGAGAAACACTATACCATAAATCCTGCGTCTCCCTCTCCAATCTGCTGTGAGATCATGGGACCACGAACTTGTCGAGAATGTAGTCGATACCATATTCGAACTATGGACCGCGCAAGAACAGACGCACAATTCAGAACCTTAAGAATTTCAAATGAAAATATAGCAGTAGCATCGATTTTAAAAAGATATTTACCTGAACTGTCTTATGAAGAAATCCAAGACAAAGTTGCAAGGGGCGAAATTGCAAGGCATCGAGTTCCGAATAGTTCTATAGATTCTGACGATGAGTTTGAAAAGGACCGCGACAGAAAGCGACAACAGCCTTTTATAGACGCTCGTTTAAAACGGCAAGCAACGAACTATGAAAAGTGCCGGAAATTATCTCAAATGTTTTTTGTAAACGTGAGAGATCTAAATTTTAAAATAAACAGCGGGAAAGTGTCAAAGTCGCTGGGATTTACAGAAAATAAGTCTGATGCAGCAAAAGCACGGGCTGTCCTTCAAAAATGGCGAGTAGCTGACCCTGTGACGCCGTCTTTTGTCAGTCCGAAGAAGATCGTGATGATGAAAGAACCGGAGTATAAAACCTATTTCGCGCCACCATTGCTTCCGAAAGAATCTCAAAACCCAGAACCGTCTTTCTTTGCAGGTTCCAGTGATGGCTACAAACTTCCAGATAAACTTCCCGACGAAATTGTTTTTGTTGACATTAAGTCCAAACCTACGTCAAGTGCTGCGTCAGTAGTTTCAGATGCTTCTGACGACATCGACCTTCTCGACTATGAAAAAAGTTCGCGTGATTCTTGCACGGACACAAAGGAAGAAACAGTTCCTGAAAAAGACAAAGAGGAAGTTAATTCTGAGCATTCTGATGAGGAAACGTGAAAATTGTTATATATATCGTCATCTTATTCATATAAAGCAATGAGGTTCGATCCAGTATTCCCTAAGGGAAAGAGCAATTCATCCAAAAGGAGATGGCTTATTGACCATACAGAGAGTATGCAGAATGGAATTATATAGCGCGTGTTCAGGACACAATTCAGTAGTTCAGTCGAATAGGCGTACCATTCAAAGCCACATGACAAAAATGACCGAACCCTTAATGTGGCTAACTCCAGAGGAAAAGTGACACTACTGGAGGCAATACTTGATTACTGGAGTCGACTCATGTATTAAAAGAGCATAACCAGAGTGGACTCTTGAATTACTCGACCTTGAGTTAAAAGCACATTGCAAAGTTAAGTGATGATGGATATTGTCCATGGTGTTACATTATAGTGACGTTTTATTGAGAAACGCCAACAATAAACACGATAAGTTAAATAAAAGGTAATGATAACGATGAGGTTCTTCAGATGTGTAGCTGTTATGACGATGTGATTGTTGTCAAAAATGTGAGACCAATAGAAATAGGTTCTTAACCCGATGAGGAAGACATTTTTTTAAAGAATATAAACACGAGTTTGCCTAGTGTTTGCAAATAAATACTCTTCCCCTAGCTCTCAAACAAGAGAATAATTGACTATTTTTCTATTACTTTTCTTTCCTTGCTATGTATTTGCACAGTTTAAGTTACGTCACAGTTATGGAAGGGAATTTCCCCTGTTATAACAGTCGGAGGAGATAATGGAATCTCACACCATTGAAAGTACATGTACAACTGTCCCTGGAAAGAGAAAACAGCATGACTGACTTTATTGCTTGGAAGGCGAATGTTTGTTATACCTGTAGAGAGAACGATGATTCATCTCATGTTGAAAATTAATTTCTGTAACTCTTTTCGAGGAGGAGATCGAGAAAAGCCATACACAGGATGTTAATACAATATATATATATATATATGTATATAAATCTGAGCGACACGTTGACGTATGCTTCTTCAGGTGTGTGTTTGGAATCCAATTTAGACATTAAAAGTCACGCAATTCCCACATATGGGGATGTATCGGATGTGCCAACACCTATTTAACAGTTCCCATTGGTTTGAGTTAAGTATGAAACAACATGCAGTTGTTGACGAGTTTAGCATGTTACATTCTGAATTCTGAAATCTGAAGATTGATGTTATTCATATAATTTTCATCATTAAAGTTTCCCGATAAACAGAAGTAATTTCTGTACATTATTGTTTTCATTTCATCTACCTGTTAATTTCTTCTCGAAACAGAAATCACTGTGTAAGACAAGAAATTGTCAAAACTTCGTGTAAATAAATCTATCTGTGATTAATGAAGCTATAAGAGCAACATGCTTGTACAAATAAAGATAGATAGATAAATGAATAAATAGATAAATGATGAAATTCTTCGATTTTTTTCTTAGTTTTGTGAAATTTAGAACATATACACTATTTCTATGTTAACTGCTAACGGATTGCTATGCTGATTTAAGCGGTCATTGGATGATCAAGAGCCAGAATTACACATAAATTAAGGCAATGATCTACATATATATATTAAATTCTGACATAATGGACTAGTATATCTTTCCGTGTATATGGTATCATTATACTCGTCAGTACACAGAAGTTATTGTTCAAAATACCATTTATGCAAAATAATTTTTCTTCGAATGTTCCGATGCATTAAGGTATTCAGCCAGTAAAACCTTTTAATAGGGACAAAACCAAAAATCAAAATTATCACCTGATTCATAAAGATCACAATGTATACTCCATTACAGACCATATTTATCCACAAGTTTTTTTTTTCATCTAACAATGGTGTCACATAGCATGCTGGTTGGATACAATAAAAGTATTAGTATATGCCCAATAAAAAGCTTAATTTCAAACAACAACATGTGTTTTTAAATACCATAATAACAGCAATGAATAATGAAATAGCTATTATTCATATCACATTCATATACAATGTACGATATGCGAAAAAGTGTTATCTCGGTACCCTCGTTGTCACTCTTAGAAAAGTGATAAAGACACTTTGTAAGGTAAACTGAGTGTAACAAGAGAGTTTTAAATGAAAAATCTGTTTAAATACTTGCTGGCATACCTTCTGCAAATTTTTAAATATCTTTTATAAACTTTTACCAGATGTAATTAAATATTTTTAAGCTTTGATACCCCTACCCCCTTAATTTCGATGACTCAATCGATTTCGGGAAAATTGCATAAAATAGCATCATAGCCAAACAGACTATAAATACTAAACTCTTTGAAGGCTACAAGTAGAATAGTAATAAAAAATAACTATTTCTGATATTTTCTTACCTTCACCTCAGACCTTCACCCGGATTATGACCACATAATTCATTATGTAACAAAAACGAATAAGAAATCAAGTCCTTTTTGCACAAAAAAGCATTACCGTTATAGCTATATAAAAAGTTCATTTTTATCCTACTTTTCAAACAGTTCAACAAGCTTTGGAATTACAGAATCAAGAACGTGCTTTGCAAAAGAGAGCCGCTGCTGTCCATTGCAGTTCTTTTGCACAAATATTGCTCTCAGACCATCTTCACCATACCTTTGCAATATTTTTTTTAGATGTTAGCATGGTAGCATGTTTTAAAATGCCTTGTGATATAAAAGGATGTAAGGTAAGCATATGTTTTGCCTTTTCCGCGCTAAAATTATGTGCATGAACGTCAACTCTATGACTTCCGAAAATTCACGATCTATAAAACATTGGCATTCGTCGGGATTATAACCGGAAGTGCTCCATTAGGATGGGAATACCTTAAGGAGGTATGGGTATGGGTGTCTGCGGACACAGCAACGGAGAGATAATTCCGGAAAAGGAATGCTTAATTAAATAATCTAATCATTAGCGATAAATAAGTGATGTCTCGTGAGAGTTGAATGAGAAATATAGAAAAGGAAAAAATGTTTGTGAACACTGCCGTTGGAGTTACTTTGTTAAGGACTAAACTTTGGTGTAGGCCACTGCATTATACTGTGGTGTACGTCACTGTATTATACTGTGGTGTACGTCACTGAATTATACTGTTGTGTACGTCACTGCATTATACTGTGGTGTACGTCACTGTATTATACTGTGGTGTACGTCACTGAATTATACTGTGATGTACTTCACTGAATTCTGCTGTAATGTACGTCACTGCAATTATACATGGTGCATCACTGAATTATACTGTGGTGTACGTCACTGAATTATACTGTGGTGTATGTCACTGCATTATACTCTGGTGTACGTCACTGCATTATATTGTTGTGTACGTCAGTACATTATACTGTGGAGTACATCACTGAATTATACTGTGGTGTACGTCACTGAATTATACTGTGGAGTACATCACTGAATTATACTGTGGTGTACGTCACTGTATTATACTGTGGTGTACGTCACTGAATTATACTGTGGTGTACGTCACTGCATTATACTGTGGTGTACGTCACTGTATTATACTGTGGTGTACGTCACTGAATTATACTGTGATGTACGTCACTGAATTCTGCTGTGATGTACGTCACTGCAATTATACATGGTGCATCACTGAATTATACTGTGGTGTACGTCACTGAATTATACTGTGGTGTATGTCACTGAATTATACTGTGGTGTACGTCAGTGCATTATACTGTAGTGTACGTCACTGCATTATACTCTGGTGTACGTCACTGCATTATATTGTTGTGTACGTCAGTGCATTATACTGTGGAGTACATCACTGAATTATACTGTGGTTTACGTCACTGTATTATATATACTGTGGTGTACGTCACTGAATTATACTGTTGTGTACGTCACTGTATTATACTGTGGTGTACGTCACTGCATTATACTGTGGTGTACGTCACTGAATTATACTGTGGTGTACGTCACTGAATTATACTGTGATGTACGTCACTGCATTATACATTGGTGCATCACTGAATTATACTGTGGAGTACGTCACTGAATTATACTGTGGAGTACATCACTGAATTATACTGTTGTGTACGTCACTGTATTATACTGTGGTGTACGTCACTGAATTATACTGTTGTGTACGTCACTGTATTATACTGTGGTGTACGTCACTGCATTATACTGTCGTGTACGTCACTGCATTATACTGTGGTGTACGTCACTGCATTATACTGTGGTGTACGTCACTGAATTATACTGTGATGTACGTCACTGAATTATACTGTGGTGTACGTCAATGCATTATACTGTGGTGTACGTCACTGCATTATACTGTTGTGTACGTCACTGCATTATACTGTTGTGTACGTCACTGCATTATACTGTGGAGTACATCACTGAATTATACTGTGGTGTACGTCACTGCATTATACTTTTGTGTACGTCACTGAATTATACTGTGGAGTACATCACTGAATTATACTGTGGTGTACGTCACTGAATTATACTGTGGAGTACATCACTGAATTATACTGTGGTATACGTCACTGAATTATACTGTGGTGTACGTCACTGAATTATGCTGTGGTGTACGTCACTGCATTATACTGTGGTGTACGTCACTGAATTATACTGTGGTGTACGTCACTGCATTATACTTTGGAGTACATCACTAAATTATACTGTGGTGTAGACCACTGCATTATACTGTGGTGTACGTCACTGAATTATACTGTGGTGTACGTAACTGAATTATACTGTGGTGTACGTCACTGAATTATACTGTGGTGTACGTCACTGAATTATGCTGTGGTGTACGTCTCTGCATTATACTGTGGTGTACGTCACTGCATTATACTGTGGTGTACGCCACTGCATTATACTGTGGTGCACATCACTGCAATAGGACATAACACCAGAGTTCGACGATTGGCAGCGTAATTCAGAGGCATAGGACAAATCAAGAAATATAGATATTGATAGATTTGAAGGAATTTAACAAACGCATATTGGAAAATATATATTTTATTCAATATTGTCGAGCAATTGAAA